TTTTTTTTTTTTTTTTAAGATGGGGTTTCACCATGAGGGCCAGGCTGGTCTTGAATTGCTGACCTCAGGTGATCCACCCACCTCGGCCTCCCCAAGTGCTAGGATTACAGGCGTGAGCCACCACGCCCAGCCTGATTGGCTATTTTAAAGGGAGCAGGGGTACGAGCAGGAATGGCGGGGTGGGTAGTCTGGCGAAAGAACGGTAACGGGCAGGTCAGAGCAAGTAGCCAGGGGCCAAAGCAGATGACTGGATAAGGTGACGGGAGCAGGTGACCAGGATGAATCAGGACAGAGCAGGGGACTGGAGAAACAGATGTGAACTACTGATTAGAACTGGCGGAAAGAGTTGTTTATTGAAACTACACGGATGTTAAACTTTAAAATGGAGACTTAAGGAATAAAAGAGCTGAACGTACTGACAGACTGATTCTTTGAAGAGAAACTTGGAGTCTACTATATCTAACACTCTGCTAGTCTAGAGGTCTTAGCTCCAAAGAAAAGAATGCTTCCACTAGGAGACACAATGATTCCATTGAACTAGAATAGACTGAAGCCTGGCCACTTTGGGATCCTCATGGCTCTGAGTCAGCAGGCAAAGAAAGGAGTTACTGTGCTGGCTGGGGGATCCATCCTAACTACCAATGAAAAATTGGAGGCCTGGCGTGGTGGCTCACACCTGTAATCCCAGCACTTTGGGAGGCCAAAGCTGGCGGATCATCTGAGCTCAATGGTGAAAACCTATCTCTACTAAAAATACAAAAATTATGAGGCTGGGCACGGTGGCTCACACCTATAATCCCAGCACTTCGGGAGGCTGAGATGGGTGGATCACCTGAGGTCGGGAGTTTGAGACCAGCCTGACCAACATGGAGAAACCTCATCTCTACTTTTTTTTTTTTTTTTTTTTTTAAACAAAGTCTCCCTCTGTAGTGCAGGCTGGAGTGCAGTGGCACGATCTTGGCTCACCACAAGCTCCACCTCCCAGATTCAAGCAATTCTCCTGCCTCAGCCTCCTGAGTAGCTGGGATTACAGACACATGCCACTGCACCTGGCTAATTTTTTGTATTTTTAGTAGAGATGGGGTTTCATTAAGTTGACCAGGCTGTTCCTGAACTCCTGACCTCAGGTAATCCACCTGCTTCAGCCTCCCAAAGTGCTAGGATTACAGGCATGAGCCACAGTGCCCATCTGAAACCCCATCTCTACTAAAAAATACAAAATTAGCCAGGCATGGTGGCACATGCCTGTAATGCCAGCTACTCAGGAGGCTGAGGCAGGAGAATCATTTGAACCCGGGAGGCAGAGGTTGCAGTGAGCCGAGATTGTGCCACTGCACTCCAGCCTGGCCAACAATAGCAAAACTCTGTCTCAAAAACAAAAACAAAATAAACAAAAATTAGCTAGAAGTGGAGGCGTGCGCCTGTAGTCCCAGATACTCTGGAGGCTGAGGTAGGAGAATCACTTGAACCTGGGAGGCAGAGTTTGCAGTGAGCCACTGAGATTGTGCCACTGAACTCCAGCCTGGGCGACAGAGTGAGATTCTGTCTCAAACACACACACACACACACACACACACACACACACACACACACCCCAACAAAAATAAATAAATAAATTACAAAAATTAACCAGGCATGGTGGTGCATGCCTGTAATCCCAGCTACTTGGGAGGCTGAAGCAAAAGAATCACTTGAACCCAGGAGACTGAGGTTGCAGTGAGCTGAGATTGTGCCATTGCACTCCAGCTTGGCAACAGAGTGAGACTCTGATTCAAAAAAAAAAAAAAGAAAGAAAGAAAAAACGAAAAAGAAAAATTGGAATATTACTTCACAATGGAGGTAAGTATGAGGTGTCAAAAATACAGGAGATTCCTTAAGTCATCTTAGTATTACTGTGACCTATGATTAAGGTCAATGGAAAACTACAACAAATCAATCCAGGACTACTAAAGCCCCGGACCCTTCAGGAATGAAGCTTTGGGTCACTCTACCAGATAAAGAAGCAGGGAAACACCTGTTAATGTGCTTGCTGAAGGCAGAGGGAATACAGGTTGGTAGTAGAAAGAGGTAGTTATTAAGATCAGCTGTGACCACAGAACCTAGTACTATGATTGTCATGAGCATTTCCTCTTGTTTTATTAATATGTTTATGTGTATATATATCAAGCAAATATCTTTGTTTTCTTATCTCTTTTTGTTATTATTATTATTATTATTTATTTTATTATTTTTTAAAGACGGGGTTTCACCATGTTGGTCAGGCTGGTCTTGAACTCCCAAACTCAGGTGATCTGCCCACCTTGGCCTCCAAAGTGCTTGGATTACAGGTGTGAGCCACCACACCCGGCCTTATTTATTATTTTTTTGAGACGCAGTCTTGCTCTGTTGCCAGGCTGGAGTGCAGTGGCACGATCTCAGCTCACTGCAACCTCTGCCTTCCAGGTTCAAGCAATTCTTCTGCCTCAGCCTCCTGAGTAGCTGGAACTACAGGTGTGCACCACGATGCCCAGCTTATTTTTGTATTTTTAGTAGAGACGGGTTTTCACCATGTTGGCCAGGATGGTCTCAATCTCCTGACCTCGTGATCCACCCGCCTCAGCCTCCCAAAGTGCTGGGATTACAGGCATGAGCCACTATGCCCAGGCCATTAGTGTGTTTTTTGATTATACGCAGAATAATTGTATTATGTTAGGCAGAATTATGACCTATTATTTTTTTATTTGGAAATTAAATATGGTTTAAGGAGATGTATATGGGTGCCAAGCTGACTAGGGGTGGACTTGTTGTAATGGTTAATTTTATGTGTCAACCTGGCTGAGCCATGGAGGGCCCAGACATCTGGTGAACATTAATCTGGAGGTCAGGCACAGTAGCTTGCACTTGTAATCCCAGCACCTTGGGAGGCCAAGGTGGGAGGATCGCTTGAAGCCAGGAGTTTGAGACCAGTCTGGGCATCATAGCAAGACCCAGTCTCTACAAACAATTAACAACAACAACAAAAATAGCTGAGTATGGTGGCACACACCTGTAGTCCCAGCTACTCAGAAGATTGAGGTGGGAGGATCCCTAGAGCCCAGGAGTTCGAGGCTACACTGAGCTATGATGGCATCACTGTACTCCTGGGTGAGATCACTGTACTTTGCCTGGGTGACAAAATGAGACCCTGTCTAAAGAAAAACAAACAAAAAAATTATTCTGGTGTGTCTGTGAGGGTGTTTCTAGATGAGATTAACGACTGAATTAGATTGAGAATTAATTAAATAACATTTGAATTAGTGGTAGATTGAGTAAAGCAGATTGCCCTTGTAACATGGGTGAGCCTCTTCCAATCACTGAAGACATGAATAAAACAAAAAGGCCGAGTAAAAGCAACTCCTCCTGCCTAACTGCCTAAGCAGACAGTCTTTCCTGGCCTTCTGACTCAGACTGAAACATTGACTCTTTTTGGACCTTGAGCTGGCTGGCTTTCAGTCCGGAACTACATATCCGTTCTCCTAAATCTCCAGCTTGCTAATTGCAGATCTTGGGACTTCTCAGCCTCCATATAATATGAGCTGATTGCTTATAATAAATAAATACATACACACACACACATCCTATTTGGTTCTGTTTCTCTGGAGAACTCTGAGCAATATATTTCACATTTAAAACAACTTTTTTGGGGCACATTTTGCATATCACGTAATTCACTTTTTTAGAGTACAATTTGATGACTTTTTTTTTTTTTTGGAGACAAGGCTGTACTGTCACCCAGGCTGGAGTACAGTGGCATGATCACAGCTCACTGCAGCCTTCACCTCCTGGGCTCAGGCATGGTCACAGCTCACTGCAGCCTTCACCTCCTGGGCTCAGGCATGATCACAGCTCACTGCAGCCTTCACCTCCTGGGTTCAGGCTATTGTCATACCTCAGCCACCCAAGCAGCTGCTACTACAGATGTGCGCCACCACACCTGGGCTAATTTTTGTATTTTTAGTAGAGACGAGATTTCACCATGTTGGTCTGGCTGGTTTCGAACACCCGACCTCAGGTGATCCACCCCCCTCACTCTCCCAAAGTGCTGGGATTACAGGCGTGAGCCACCGCGCCTGGCTTACAGTTTTCTTTAAACACAAAACGTGCACAGGAGTTGTCTACTCATTTTCTTCGCTGCGCAGCCTGGCATTGGGTTGGTGACTCTGATGGCCAGCTGGGCAGCTCTTTCCATGATGGCCTTGCGGTTCTTGGAGGAAACACTGTGAGCGATCTCAGCACCGTAAGATTTGTTGCACATAAGCAGCACTTCCAGCTGCTTGGCATTGTGGACCAGGAACTTAACGGAAGCCAGTGGGTAGCATGTGCTTTGTTTTGTTGTTGTTGTTGTTGTTGTTGCTCCCATAATGTTGGGCATCAAGATCTGGCCCTTGAACCTACTACAAAACCTGTTGTCAATACCTCTGGGTTTCCGCCAGTTATGCTTAGTTTTGACATATCGGTCAGACGCGGGATGAACGTCTCGATTCTCTCTCTCTTTTTTTTTTTTTTTTTTTTTTTGAGATGGAGTTTCGCTCTTGTTACCCAGGCTGGAGTGCAATGGCGCGATCTCGGCTCACTGCAACCTCCACCTCCTGGGTTCAGGCAATTCTCCTGCCTCAGCCTCCTGAGCAGCTGGGATTACAGGCCCGCGCCACCATGCCCAGCTAATTTTTGTATTTTTAGTAGAGACGAGGTTTCACCATGTTGACCAGGATGGTCTTGATCTCTTGACCTCGTTATCCACCCGCCTCGGCCTCCCAAAGTGCTGGGATTACAGGCGTGAGCCACCGCGCCCGGCCCTTGATTCTCTTTTTGACGATCTTGGGCTTCACAAGGATTCTGAGGAAGGTTTTCCAAAGAGCCCTGGGGAGACAGATTTTTGAGAAGTAAAAGGACCCTCCCTCAAAACCGACCGCGGTCCTCCATTGGGTAGGGGGCGCTCCAAGACAGGAACTCTTCTAGCCCGTCGCCTCTCCATATTAGCGAGATCCTCGTTGCTAGGAGACTAGACGCCTCTTTCCGCTGGATCGCGCAGCCTCCCAGATAGCCGGGCCGTCTCTTTCTTGTTCGAAGGCTGAAATGTCTGGTCCCACAACCTCCCACAACCAGGGGCAGTTCTGGAAGGCCCCTTTCTAGGGACATTTTTCTTCTACGCTCTGTAAGGCGGGCCGAGGCAGGCCGAGACTTCTTTCCCGGATCCAGTCACCTGCCCCGCTATGCTTAAGAAAGAAAAAAAGGCCAAGACGCCCCTGTCCGATGAGGAGCAGCTGCTTCTGTTTCAGCAGAAGTTGCTGGCAGAGGAGGAGATGGCCAAAAAGAAGGAGAGGCTCCTCAGCCAGTTCTTGAAGGTGATGGCCTTTTGCATTATGTCCTGCCCAACCCCATCCTCCCCTTGCGCTAGCCCTGCCACTGAGGAAACCTCATTTCATCCCGACCTCCCCTCCGGAAATCCTGAGACCCAGATATACTTAGATTTCAGGCAACATTGTTTTGGAGGCGGGGGTGTTCTCTGCAAAGCATGGAGGGGGTGCGTAGTATACAGCTTGGCAGTCTCCATTGAATCCCAGAACTAGGACAGTAGGTCCTGTCAGCTGTCCCAGCTGTCTGGAAGGCTGATACTCCCCTTGGAGATAAATCATTACAAACAACATCCTACTCTGATGCTCCCACCCTGAAGGAAATTTACCCTTGCCCTCCCTAAATTCCATCAAGCCGTTCCCCTGGAAAAAGGGTAAGGTGTCATCTGACAAATTAGGGGTGATCTTGTTTGTTGTATTGAAAGGCCCTGACTTCCTGGAGGTATATTTATTCCTTCACACAGGACAAGCTGGCCAAGGAGGAACACAACAGTGCGCTGAACCTTAATAAGATTAACACACAGTGGAGAACCGTCCTTCGGGAAGTTAAGACCAGAGAACTTCTTAAGGACATTGAGATCCTCAGCCAAACATTTGAACGAGTGGTGGATTGTAAGGACAATGTCATCAAGGTAGGCACTATTTCCAAGGAAACCTTGAGTATGGCTTCCTGACCTCTTCTCTTAATAGAATGAGCCTAGTGAATTACATAATCCATCCTAAACCCCTCACAAGACACAGGCTATTGGTAATAACAGTTTTCACAGAAATAAAAAAATAGAATATTGGGCTGTCTTTCATCCCTCTCCCTCCCTTAGAGAAGCCACTCTCCTTGGTCATCTACTGCCTGAAACCAGTACTATCCAATAGTAGAGTTGTAAGGCACAGTAGACATCACCCAGTGACTTGAAATAAGTCCCACACCTTCACTTCAATGGCAGAAGGCTCAGTTTCAGAGGGGAACTGACTTGCCCCAGGTCACACAGCTAGCCAGTGAGAGAGCCAGCACTCCAGCATGTGTTTCTTGACCTCCACTCAAGTGCTGCATTCAACCAAATTGTTTGGCCTCTTGATTAAACTTCAGTGGCCCTGGGTACTATTGAGAAGATCTCCAGGGGTAAGAGCAGTTCTGGATTTTTTTTTTTTAATTAATGTACCCTGATTGAAAAACGATGAGAGAATATAGAAAAGTATAGAGTGTTCATATTCCCATCACCCAGAAACAATCACCATTGACATTTTAGTAAGCCTTTCCAAATAATTGTATTTGTTTTTTCTAAAAAAAAAAAAAGAAGAAAGAAAGAAAAAAAGAAAGAATGAAGGAGAGGAAGAAAGAGAAAGAGGAAGAGGGAGAGAGAACGGGGGTGTTGCTTTATTGCCCGGGCTAGAATGCAGTCTAAAAATGGGTATGCCTATAATTGTGCTTAATAATAGAGACATGAAAAAAAAATGAGGGAAGAAAATAACAAGCAGCCAACCAATATTTCATTGAAACCTGTAAATAGATGTGATGTGGTACTGATAAGAGTGTATATTTTGTGTATTTAAAGTGGAGAGTTCTATAAATGTTAATTAAGTCTACTTGTTCCGGATCTGAGTTCAAATCCTGGATATCGTTGTTAATTTTCTGTCTCATTGATCTGTCTAATATGGATGTTGAAGGCTCCCACTATTATTGTGTGGGAGTCTAAGTCTCTTTGTAAGTCTTACATATCTGGGTATTCCTGTATTGGGTGTGTATATATTTAGGATCTTTAGCTCTTCTTGTTGCATTGATCCTTTTATCATTATGTAATATCCTTCTTTGCTTCTTATGATCTTTGTTGCTTTAAAGCAACTCCTGCTTTTTATTTATTTATTTATTTTTGCTCTCCATTTGGTTGGTAAATCTTTCTCCATCCCTTTGTTTTGAGTTTCACATGTATCCTTGCATGTGAGATGGGTCTGGATGCAGCATACCAATGGGTTTTGGCTTTTCTTGCCTATCTGTGTCTTTGGATTGGGGGATTTAGTCGATTTAAATTTAGAATTAATAATAATATATGTGAGTTTAATACTGCCATTTAATGTTAGCTGGCTGTTTTGCCTATTAGTTGATGTAAATTCTTGATTATGTTGATGCTCTTTACTTTTTTTTTGTTGTTGTTGTTTTTTTTGTTTTTTTTTTTTTTTTTTTTTAGACGGAGTTTCGCTCTTGTTACCCAGGCTGGAGTGCAATGGCGCGATCTCGGCTCACCGCAACCTCCGCCTCCTGGGTTCAGGCAATTCTCCTGCCTCAGCCTCCTGAGTAGCTGGGATTACAGGCACGCACCACCATGCCCAGCTAATTTTTTGTATTTTTGGTAGAGACGGGGTTTCACCATGTTGACCAGGATGGTCTCGATCTCTTGACCTCGTGATCCACCCGCCTCGGCCTCCCAAAGTGCTGGGATTACAGGCTTGAGCCACCGCGCCCGGCCGATGCTCTTTACTTTTTGGTATTTTTTAGAAAGGCTGATACTGGTTGTTCCTTTCTATGTGTAGTGGTTCTTTCAGAAGCTCTTGTAAAGCAGGCCTGGTGGTGATGAAATCTCTAAGTGCTTGCTTGTTCACAAAAGATTTTATTTTTCCTTCGCTTATGAAGCTTAGTTTGGCTGGATGTAAAATTCTGGGTTGAAAGTTCTTTTCTTTAAGGATGTTGAATATTTGCCCCCACTCTCTTCTGGCTTGTAGGGTTTCTGCTGAGAGATCTGCTGTGAGTCTGATAGGCTTCCCTTTACGGGTAACCTGACCTTTCTCTCTGACTGCCGTCAGTATTTTCTCCTTCATTTCAACCCTAGTGAATCTGGCGATTATGTGCCTTGAGGTTGGTCTTCTTGAGGAATATCTTTGTGGTGTTCTCTGTATTACCTGGAGGTGAATATTGTCCTGCCTTGCTAGGTTGGGAAAGTTTTCCTGAATAATATCCTGTAGCGTATTTTCCAGCTTGGATTGATTCTCTTCGTCACATTCAGTTACACCTATCAAGCGTAGATTAGGTCTTTTCACATAGTACCATATTTCTTGGAGACTTTGCTCGTTCCTTTTTTCTCTAATCTTGTCTTCTCGTTTTATTTCATTAAGTTGGTCTTCGACTTCTGATATCTTTTCTTCTGCTTGATCGATTCGGCTGTTAAAACTTGTGCATAGTTCGCAAAGTTCTCGTGTTGTGTTTTTCAGCTCCATTAATTCACTTATATTCCTCTCTAAATTGTGTATTCTTGTTAACATTTTGTCAAACCTTTTTTAAAAGTTCTTAGTTTCTTTGCATTGGGTTAGAACAAGTTCTTTTAATTCACAGAAGTTTCTTATCATCCACCTTTTGAAGGCTGCTTCTGTTAATGGAACACACTCATTCTCCATCAGGCCTTGTTCTGTGGCTGATGAGGAACTGTGATCCCCTGTAGAGGCAGAGGCATTCTGATTTTGGTATTTTCAGCCTTTTTAGGCTGTTTTCTTCCCTTCTTTATAGATTTATCCATCTGTGGTCTTTATAATTACTGTCTTTATAATTGGGTTTCTGAGTGGACGTCCAACTTGTTGATTCCCAGTGCTAAAATCTGAGCAACCCACTGCTCTGGCCAAAACAGCGGCGTTATGATTGGTGGTGCTTTTCTGACTCTGCACCAAGAACCTCCGCACCAAGGCAGCGGCAAAACCGCCTTGCCGGCCACAAGAGTCGCGCTGGCAACCCGTGGGGCTCCTCCGCTGGGAATCTCCTGGTGCGTGAGCAACAAAAATTCGTCTGACAGTGTGGCGTCCTCTCGTTCTCTGCGCTTTCACTGGGAACTACAATCCCGAGCTGCTAGTGATCAGCCATCTTGGATCTCTCTCCGAGCAGTTCTGGATTTCTAAGCAATTCAATCAGCCGTCCTTTTGCTCTTGGGCAGTTCTTGAGTTCTTGATTCCATCCTATCTTTTCTTCTAAGGGATTTTCTGTACCCTATCTTTCATCTTTTAACATTCTGCTTCCATTTGCTGCCTTCTCCTTAGTCTTTTCCATTTTATTTTATTTATTTATTTATTTTGAGATGGAGTCTCACTCTGTCGCCAGGCTGGAGTGCAGTGGCGCAATCTTACCTCACTGCAACCTCCGCCTCCCAGGTTCAAGTGATTCTCCTGCCCCCACCTCTCGAGTAGCTGGGGCTACAGATGTGTACTACCACACCCAGCTAATTTCTGTATTTTTAGTAGAGATGGGGTTTCACTGTGCTAGCCAGGATGGTCTCGATCTCCTGACCTTGTGATCCACCTGCCTCAGCTTCCCCAAGTGCTGGGATTACAGGTGTAAGCCACTGTGCCTAACCAGAGTATTTTCCATTTTAAACAAAGCAAAGCCCACAGAAACAGCAAACTGTACATTGCCAATATAGTATTCCCCCTGTAGAAAACATACATTTCTTTTTCACAGCCTAAACCCTGGGGTAAAAAGTTCAGCAGACCCTGGGCAGCTTCAAGAAATATATATAAAGAGTCCTAAGGCCAGACATGGTGGCACACGCCTGCAATCCCAGCGCTTTAGGAGGCCAAAGCAGGCAGATCACGAGGTCAAGAGATCGAGATCATCCTGGCCAACAAGATGAAACCCCATCTCTACTAAAAATACAAAAATTAGTCAGGCATGGTGGCACACGCCTGTAGTCCCAGCTACTCAGGAGACTGAGGCAGGAAAATCACTTGAACCCAGGAGGCGGAGGTTGCAGTGAGCTGACATCGCACCACTGTACTCCAGCCTGGGTGACAGAGCAAGACTCCTGGGTGGGAGAGAGAGCAAGCTTCCAAAAAAAAAAAAAAAAAAAAAGTCCTCAAATTTGCAATAGCCATCATTCATTAGAAGTCCAAACCCCACCAGTTATACCTTATGGATTTTTTTTTTTTTTGAGGTGGAGTTTCTTTTCTTTTCTTTTCTTTTTGAGATGAAGTTTTGATCTTGTTGCCCAGGCTGGAGTGCAATGGCGTGATCTCGGCTCACCGCAACCTCCACCTCCCGGGTTCAAGCAATTCTCCTGCCTCAGCCTTCTGAGTAGCTGAGATTACAGGCATGCGCCACCACGCTGAGCTAATTTTGTATTTTTAGTAGAGATGGGGTTTCTTCATGTTGGTCAGACTGGTCTTGAACTCCCGGCCCCAGGTGATCTGCCCGCCTTGGCCTCCCAAAGTGCTGGGATTACAGGCATGAGCCACCACACCCAGCCAGAGAAGGAGTTTTACTTTTGTCCCCCAGGCTGGCATGCAGTGGCGCAATCTTGGCTTACTCCTACCTCTGCTTCCCAGGTTCAAGTGATTCTCCTCCCTCAGCCTCCCAAGTAGCTGGGATTACAGATGTGCTCCACCAAGCCCAGCTAATTTTTGTTAAAATTAAATAGAAATAGAATTCTTTTTAAAATTCTATGGTATAACACAATCAGTTCAGGGTTTTTTTTTTTTCTGAACAAACGATCCCTTGGTCTTTCCTGTGGCATGCTCCTAAAACAACCCTCTATGTCTAATCAGTCACCTAAGGTATTGAGTGGCAAGTCTTTCACATTTGCTGCTAATAATTACTAAATTGTCCATATTAAGTATTTTCATTTCTGGGTAAGGAAAAAAGCATTTTTGGTCCATTTTTTTTTCC